AGATTGATTGATTGATTGATTGATTTGACAGAGACGCAGCGAGGTCAGGAACACAAGCAGGGGGAGTGGGAGAGGGAGAAGCAGGCTTCCCGCTGAGCAGGGAGCGCGATGCGGGGCTCGATCCCAAGACCCTGGGATCATGACCTGAGCTGAAGGCAAACGCTTAACCAAATGAGCCACCCAGGGGCCCCTCATTGAAGGATTTTCATCAGAGGAGTGACCCTTTTTTTTGAGCTCTGCCACCACCAACATATGTTTAGGTGACATATTTTTAAAGGATCATTCTAATTATTTCATGGCACCAGGATCTTTAAAAAAAGGGAATCGTTTACAATTCTGCTGTTTCTTCAAACCTTAATGTCTGTATCCATTCACCACTGAGAGTGTCTCCTCTGTTTTAGGCAGGGAGCTAAGTGGTAAGGATAGAGAAGTCAAGCCAGACACAGCTCCTCCAATCAAGAGTCTTTTAGTCTCTTTAAAAAAAAAAAAAAAAAAAAAAAAGAGTCTTTTAGTCTCGTGAGCATGGGGCCTACATACTTTCACATTTCACAGACTTACCTCTGAGCTATTCTACTCTCCTGAGCCCGTCAATATCCTTCCTGCCAATCCTTCACATACTGACCTAGCTGCTCTACATCAGACTGGATGCCCAGTGGCATTTTCCCGACCAGGGTTTGGCTCCTCTTGGTAACAGATTTGTATGGCTACACTTTTACACTATTCAGACAACCCCAAAAGCCTCCTACCTTGTCACTCGTTTTGTCAGCAAAGCTCCATCTCTGCATATCAAAGTTACACAGTTTAAAATTTACTCTTTCTTTCTACACACATAGAATAACATAACTCTAAATGATATCATTTGTAACAAAAGTTTTTAGCCACTCTCCAGAGGGCTTTTGATACAGAAAAGACCTCACTTTCTTTTTTTTTTTAAAGATTTTTTATTTATTTATTTGTCAGAGAGAAAGAGAGTACAAGCAGAGGGAGAAGCAGGCTCCCTGCTGAACAAGGAGCCCGATGAGGGAACAGGGAGCCTGATGCGGGACTCGATCCCAGGATCCCGGGATCATGACCTGAGCCAAAGGCAGACGCTTAACTGACTGAGCCACCCAGGCGTCCTAAGACCTCACTTTCTACCTATGTGACTTCTCCCTGATGTCGTAGAGAGGGGGGATATGGCGAACATGATTGAAGAGAAAAAAGAACAAAAACATTTTTTGGAAAAGGTAGATTTAGCCTCTCTGTGGTAATCTAATACTTTACTAGACCCTTGATTCTCACTTCTCAGAATTCTCACCTCTATATAGTCCCTCCCCACACTGACTCTGGTCTTGGTCAAGGGACTAGCTTTGGCCAGTGGGACATTTACAAGGACCAGCCTTGATAAATCTTGCATATTATGGCCTATCCTCTTGGGGTGTCCTCTTCAGAACCCAACTGCCATGCTGTGAGAAACCCAGCTTAGCCATGTGAAGAGATCATGTGAAGGAAAACTGGGGTCCTGGCCAACCACCCCAGCTGAGCTCCTGGCTAACAGACAGCATGTGAATGGTCCAGCTTGGAAGGACCCTCCAGCCCTAGTTCAACCATCCCAGCAGTCACCACACAGGAAAAGATGAGCTATGCCTGCTAAGCCTTGTTCTGATCGCAGAATCTTGAGCAAATAAATGACTGTTGTTATATTTTGGGGACAGTTTGTCCCACAGTATTAGATAACCACAACACTCTTTTCTTTAAAAAAAATAAAATAAAATAAGGGGGCACCTGGGTGGCTCAGTCGTTAAGTGTCTGCCTTCGGCTCAGGTCATGGTCCCAGGGTCCTGGGATCAAGCCCTGCATCGGGCTCCCTGCTCGGCGGGAAGCCTGCTTCTCCCTCTCCCACTCCCCCTGCTTGTGTTCCCTCTCTCGCTGTGTCTCTCTCTGTCAAATAAATAAGTTAATTAAATCTTTAAAAAAAATAAAATAGGGCGCCTGGGTGGCTCAGTTGGTTAAGCGACTGCCTTCGGCTCAGGTCATGATCCTGGAGTCCCGGGATCGAGTCCCACATCGGGCTCCCTGCTCAGCAGGGAGTCTGCTTCTCCCTCTGACCCTCCCCCCCTCATGTGCCCTCTCTCTCTCATTCTCTCTCTCAATAAATAAAATTTTAAATAAAAATAAATAAATAAATAAATAAAATAAAAGAGGCACTGTTCCACTGTCTGCTGGAATTCTTAAGACTGAAATGTATAAACTTCAGGTCAAGGTTCAGCTTCCCTAACAAGAGAACTGCCTTATATACTTGTGTAATTGTTAGCTTAATGTCTGTGCCCTCATTCATCTGTAACCTCCATGAGGGAAGGGATTATGTCTGTCATGGTCAATATTGTCTCATTGACCTAGAAAAGACCCTAGCACATAGTAGGCACTCAATCAATATTTTAGTAAATCAATATTATGTTGATTTACTAGCTATGTTAGTTCCTATGTTTGAATAAGATAGTAATTCTTTGACCACTGTTATTTTTAGCAAACACTTCTACAATGTTTACTACCTGTAGGTACCTGTACTTTACATTAACTCATTAACTATTTAGTCTTCACAATAACCCTATGGGCTAGGTACTATTATCATCCCCTTTTACAGATAAGGAAACTGAGGTACAGGAAGGATAAATAACTTGCTGGTCGCAGGGCCAGGATTCAAACCCAGGGAGTCAATTTCCAGAATCCATATTCTTAGCCACTACATTATCTCTCCCAGATTCCTATCCTAAGTCTGGCAGCACCATTGCTGTTGAAACAAGAATAAGGTGACACATCAGAAGAGGAAGAGCATCATTGTGATAAAGACATCGCTGTGACTCTGTAGATAGAAAACTGCACACAGAGATGAAGTTCTTGCTCTGAAACACCTTTACGATGTCAGTGACATCAGGAATGAAAGGTGGTGACATCCTCCAGGAAGACCCTTATGCCAGGCCCTACCCCCAAACTTCCAACTCTGCTAGCTAGAAGGACTAAACACCAACCTATGAGCTCAGCTCAACCCCATTCACCCTACAGGGCTGCAAAGAGCTCTGAGACAGTGGCTGCTAGGTCAGCACTGAGTCTCTTTTAATGCCCATGCTACTGAAACTATGACTGGGTCTTCCTGATGCTCAGCACAGAAACCGATGGCAAAGGCGCACCATGGCCTCATCACAAGCCCTACCTTTCCTTAAAGGAAAACTTGGATGTGGAAGTCTGGATTTAAGCCAGCAGCACTCTCAAGGTCACCTGCAAACTGACCTCCCAGTTTGATGAGTACAGTACTTTCTTAACCCAACACCACCACTACCACCACCAGCAAGCGTGTATACACACACACAAATGCCTCTGGCCTCACTCCCATGTTTGGAGAAAACATAAGAAATTTAATGTTAAAATACTGAAATGGGTGGTGCAGTCAGTTAGGTGTCTGACTCTTGGTTTCAGCTCAGGTCATGATCTCAGCGTCCTGGGATTGAGCCCCAGGTCAGGCTCCTAGCTCAGCGTGGAGTCTGCTTAAGATTCTCTCTCTCCCTCTCCCTCTGCCCCTCCTGCTCATGCTGTCTCTCTCTCTCTCTCTAAAATAAATAAATGAAATCTTCTAAAAAAATTACTGAAATGGCGGTTTAACCCAAGAGTAGAATTATTTCATAACTGCATTGCTAGATAGGTACAAAAGGTGTGCAGAGTTGGGGAGCAGGATTTTAAGTCTTGGAAATTAGAGGGGCCTTTCTAGAGAGAGTCTTCTCCATTTGACAGTCACTCAACAAATACTTTTTGCCCCCTGCTATACGCCAATAACTGTGCTGGTGCAGGAGATAAAACACTGTGAAGCCATGATCTCTGAGACAGCCCCCCAGCTCAGTGAACCCACTGAATCTCTTTTGGGTGTGCTGCCATCCGGCTGTAAGAGGCATCCTTGTGAACTGGCCGCCCTGCCAGTAATGCTGTCAAGGACACCGCTCCTGATATAACACACTGTTCTCTTAAGAGCAGCCCCGGGAAACAGTCCAATCTGATCTCAGCTCAGGAAACAGTTTTACTTTTGCAGAGTAATGGGTTTGTTTTTTTATCAATGGACACCATGAACTGTGGGACCAATGAGGCTGTCAGCTTAGAGATAAATTCATGGCCCAGCTGTAGCAAATGTGAAGGTCATTCCTACATGCACTTTTAGCTTTGTCCCTGTTTCTGTTTGGTCTCTACCCATGTTTTTATTTCTTCATTTTCTGCACTTTTAATTTATAGCATCTTGGGGGGTGGGGTTTTTTTTGTTTGTTTTTTGGGCTCTTCTTGTATCCTTAGAAATGGCTATGAACACTTCTGGAAGAAGATATCACTGTCAATGTTTATAATACACTATACACATATACACATATGCTATGTTAGAGGTGGGTTCACAGCATGATGTGGGAACACAAGAGAGCTTATAATTCTGTAAAGAGCATGAGAGAAGACCTTGCATAAGGCTCATGCTTGCTTGAGTTGAATCTTTTACTTGTTCTTTGTTTTGTTAAGGATGTTGTAGAGTTTACTGATAATGTGACAAGCATTAAACAAAATTAACTTGCTGCCAAGTACAAGATACTAAAAAAAAAAAAAATTCTTGCAGAGATTTTTATGTCATTTCATGGGTTCATGGGACATCATAGAAATTGTTTACAACCAACTGAGTCTACTTCCATGAGTTTCCTCTCATCAAGTTTTTATTCTGACAAAAAGAGGATGGGGACAAACAATTCACATCTACATCAGAATTTATGTGCAGAGAAGGAAATTCAGATGGAATATCAAAATAAAATTGGAAAATACTTGATTGCAAAGGGAGGTGATAAATTAAAATATTTACCTACAAGATATATATCTACACAAAATGTTATCAAACTGCATTATTCAAATAAAGGAAGACAAACAAGATTTAGGAATTAAAATGATCGAGATCAAAAGTCTCAGTTTGGAGGGGATATTAAGAATCATTTAGTTCAGTTGCGTACCTGTGCAGCAGTATTGCTCCTTAATTCTTCATTCCATCTTGCAGGTAGACCCCCGGCCTTGGACTTTCCCTGGCTGCCTGTGTGAGAACAGGGTGAGAAAAAAAATAGTTGCTGACACATTGTTTTAAGTGTGCTTGATCAGCAGATTATTTTTAAATACACTCAGTTTGAGCTCCTTTTCTTTTCTTAAAAAAGAGCTCTATCGATGTAAAAACTCATATTGACCCACTGCATACAGAGGACCTCAAAAAAGAACTAAGTCAGGATTACATGGATGAAGCATTCCGCAATTTACAAAAAGACAGCAATAAACATGTTAACATCCTTTCATTCTTCAGCAGTGCGAAAAATTACAACTGTCTTTCTTCACGTTAGAAAAAGAGAGAAATAGAAAAGGTAAACCAGATAGACTCCATGACCTCTTTCAGTTATCTACAAGGCCTGGCACTTTAAAGGGGATACTAGTCTGTCTTTGCATTGGGGAAAATTATTGACTTTTAACTTAGAGGGACTAAAGAGAATGCATTACTCTTTTTGCCCCTCTGCCTTTCTCTTAGAATTTTTTGAAAGCCTTAGAAGTAAAATTATCAGGAAATTGCTCACTGCTAAGACGAAAGGCTACTCTGAACTCGGCAATTAGTCATGCTGACATTTCCTGGAGGAGGGCAGCCCAGGCCCACAGAAAAGCCACCATAGCACTAAGCTGGACGCTCCACGAGGGCAGAAACACCTCTGCTTCTTCACAATGTTAGATATTCAGCTCCTGGCTTAGAGTCTGGCACAATGCATATTCATTTATTCACTCAATAAATATTTATTGAATAACTACTCTGTGCCAGGCAATGTTCCAGATGCCTGGGATATAACATAAAACAAAACAAAGATTCCTGCGCAAGTGAAATTTTAGTTCGATTGGGATAGGGGTACAGAGAGAAGAGACAATGGGTAAATAACAGGTTATGTCAAGAGTGCAGTGGACACAAGAAAAAGTAGAGCAGGTAAAGGGGGGATTGGGAAGTGCTGAGAAGGAACAGTAGATTGCAATTTTGAATAGGGTAGACACTGTGGGTCTCATTGAGGTGACATTTATTTATTTATTTAAATTTTATTTATTTGAGAGAGAGAATGAGATAGAGCGAGCATGAGGAGGGGAGGGTCAGAGGGAGAAGCAGACTTCCTGCTGAGCAGGGAGCTCAATGGGGGACTCAATCCAGGGACTCCAGGATCATGACCTGAGCCAAAGGCAGTCGCTTAACCAACTGAGCCACCCAAGCACCCGAGGTGACATTTAAACAAAGACTTGAGGGAGATAAAGTGCTCAACAAACATTTGTTGATTAAAAGCAGGGAGCCTGCTTCTCCCTCTCCCTCCGCCTGCCGTTCCCCCTGCTTGTGCTCTCTCTTTCTCTGACAAATAAATAAAATCTTTAATAAATAAAGGAATTAAAGCAAAATTAAGAAAGCAGAAAAGTATAAGGCATGTTCAGGGGATGATGAGAAAAGTAGAGAGAGAGGGTAGACTATTAGAGATGAATCTGGGAAGGAGGTAGGAGGCTCACTAAGAAGGGCCCTGGGTGCAAAGAGCTAAAGGATATCGATTTACAAAATTTAGAGTTTACAAAGAACTCTCTTTTATGGTCTTATTTATCATATCTCCAGCAAAGTTAAATTCATCTCCATTTTACCAATAAGGAAACTATGCTCAGAGAAGTTTAGTAATTTTCCTGAGATCACATAGCCAGTAAGATGCAGAGCCAGAACTTAAATCTGACTTCCAACTTCAGGCTGTCCCTACAGCCATGTTATCTCCACCAAGAAAAAGTACAAAGGTAGTAGAAAGAAAGGAGAGTTCTAAAATACACAGTAAAATACATAAATGATCACATGCCAGTTATCAAAAAAGATAGGATATAAAAATAAAATGTAATGTAAGCTCTTATTTTTTTAATTTTTTTAATGTAAGTTTTCAAAATTATACACTCTGTAGAGCAACCAATAGATTGTAGGTGCGCAACAAAAAATTAAAAGACAGTAAACTAGGGCGCCTGGGTGGCTGAGTCAGTTAAGCATCTGTATTCAGCTCAGGTCATGATCTCAGGGTCCTGGGATCGAGCCCCACATTGGGCTCTCTGCTCAGCGGCGGGTCTGCTTCTCCCTCTCCCTCTGTGATCTCTCTCACTTTTGCTCTCTCTCAAATAAAGAAATAAAAATCTTTAAAAAGATAGTAAACTAAGAACCCGTTTTGAATCGTGCCACTGTGGTTTCAGCAACAGAAAATACTTAGCTACAAATCTATTTCTACCATAAGAGCCTTTCTTTTTACTACAAACTTTTCAGATTTTCTCTTACAAACACAGTAATACTTTGTAATTTGCTTTTCTTTTTTTTTTTAAAAGATTTTATTTATTTATTTGACAGAGAGAGACACAGCGAGAGAGGGAACACAAGCAGGGGGAGTGGGAGAGGGAGAAACAGGCTTCCCACTGAGCGGGAAGCCCGATGTGGGACTCGATCCCAGGACCCTGGGATCATGACCTGAGCTGAAGGCAGACGCTTAACGACTGAGCCACCCAGGTGCCCCTTTGTAATTTGCTTTTCATTAATAGAAAGTATTATTTCTCAATTATGTAAGAAATACATGAATACTTTATTTAAAAAGTTGAAGTCCCTAACCTCAGAGATAAGTAAGCAGTACTATCAGACTGGAGTGTACCCTCCACTTCTTTTTCTATGGATACTTGTCTATCCAAGTGCTTCCTGACTACATGTGAGGATTAATATGTTTAAAACTGAACTCACCATTTTGCCCTCAGAGCTAACCAGGTCCCCTGATTTCCTGTGTCAGTAAATGGCATCACTAATCAGAAACTTTACATTCCATATTTTATCTGCCCACTCACCTATCATATCTGATCATCAATCTATTCCTATAAGTTTACCTCTATAAGGTCTGTTGTTAACAGCCTCTCTTCTCCATTTTCACTTCCACTGCTTTAATACTGGTTCTCTTTACTCACTGATTCTACTACTGCCCAGCCAGGTTCATGGCTGTGTGACCTGTGCGGTCACACAGGGTCTCACACTTAGAAAGGCCACGTGCTTGGTTTAATGCTCTGCTGGCACTGTCTTAAAATTATTAATAATTTTTTTAATAAGGGGTCCTATGTTTTTATTTTGCTGTAATAGCATCCTAACTGGTCCCCATTTTCCCAATAAGGCCCTGCTGCAACCCACCCTCCACAACTCTGTAGGGAATTAAAAAAAAGATATTCCATTGGAATTAGGTCAAGCAATACATGGCACAGAGGTCTGCCAAATTTGAGGCTGAGAGTTCTGAAGTATGACTTTAAATTGAAAAGATGAATTAATGAAGAATTAAATTTTGATATAACCAAAGAACTAACCCCCTTATCTGTGGATACTTTTTGCATTACAAGTACTTAGGGAAAATGGCCAAAGTAAACACAACACTCTGCGAAGCCAGAGTGGTAGGGAAGACAACAGGCCTTGCATTCAGAAAGATTGAGTTCAAATTCCAAACTTGACCACTTTGGTGGGACTTTGGGCAAGTTACTCAAATTCTCAAATTTTTATTTTCCTTTTTTTTTTTAAGATTTTATTTATTTGACAGAGAGAGACATAGTGAGAGAGGGAACACAAGCAGGGGGAGTGGGAGAGGGAGAAGCAAGCTTCCCAAGGAGCAGGGAGCCCGATGCGGGGCTTGATCCCGGGATCCTGGGATCATGACCTGAGTCTAAGGCAGATGCTGAGCCACCTAGGCACCCCTCAAATTTTTATTTTCCTATTGATAAAATAGAGAAAATTATCTGTCAGAACTTTTGTGAGACTCAAAAAATCATAGAGACCCAGTTCAGTTCAACAGTTACTGAATGTCTACTCTGTGCCAGACCATGCCTTTATGCCAATGACATCAAGATGAATGACTTCCTTCTCAAGGATACATTATGGAAAATAGGACGTGACTGAGGTGAGGAGTAACTTTATAATGGAAAAACCTAACAAATGCTACCTCACCAGGTGTGATCAGTTAAACATCGACAGTGATAAGTCAGGTTCATAGTATGTACCTTGGATACGATATAATGAAACTAAGTACTTTAACCCTGTGGTCTTACTCCCCCAAACCCATTTGTAGGACCAAACTAAAATGGAGTCACTTATGTCAAGGACAAAACGGAGATGGTCAATGCAGGCATATAAGGGTAACTTAACTTAACCTTACAGGAATTTATAGTTCTTCTCAGAAATCAGCAAGTACATTAGTCAATCCCCAAATGCCAAGTCTGTTCATGCCATCTTTGGACTTACTCATTCCCTACTCAGCTTACCCTAATACAAACAAGAAAGAAGACCACTAGGCAACCAATCATCTGAAAAAACCAAGCAAGTTCCACATTTACCCCATGAAAAATCCCTTGGACTGTGGCAACTTGAAACTCATTACTCTAGTTTCCCTAAGCTCCCCAGCTTGCAGGCAGAAAGCCTTACAACAAACTCATCTTTCTGTTTTGTTTTATTCAGTGTGCAGTTTGGATTTTGACACTATAAACCCAGTCTCACCATGAGAAAAACATTAGACAAACCCAAATTGAAAGACGGAGTCTACAAAATACCTGGCCAGTGCTCCTTAAAACTGTCCAAGTTATCAAAAATAAGAGGGGCGCCTGAGTGGCTCAGTCATTAAGCATCTGCCCTCGGCTCAGGTCATGATCCCAGAGTCCTGGGATCGAACCCAGCCCCACATCAGGCTCCCTGCTCCGTAGGAAGTTTGCTTTTCCCTCTCCCACTCCCCCTGCTTGTGTTCCCTCTCTCGCCGTCTCTCTGTCAAAAAATAAATAAAATCTTTAAAGAAAATAAAAAAAAAATAAATTTTAAAAATCTGAGAAACTGTAGCAGTTAAGAGGAGTCCAAGGAGACATGAGGACTAAAAGTACTGTGGTATCCTGGATAGAGTTCTGAACAGAAAAGGGACATTAAGTACAAACTAAGGAAATTCAAATAAAGATGGGCCTTAGTTACTAATCATGTATCAGTATTGGTTCATTTGTTGTAACTAC